TTGCAAGGTTCTACATTCAATGTTATTAGACCCCAAAAGGCAGATCTCTATTTTCAAGATGGCGAAATATAGGCATTAGGCCCAAGTTTGACATCATAGTCCTTTTGACCCGTCAAAGAGATGGGATTCTAATTGCGAGAGATGACGTTTTTGGCGACAGTAGTCTGACTTGATATTCAGCACAAAACTTGCAAGGTTTTACATTCAATGTTATTAGACCCAAAGGTTGATCTTTCGTTTTAAGATGGCGGAATATAAGCATTACATTATGGCCGAAGTTTGACATCATACTCCTTTTGACCCGTCAAAGAGATGGGATTCTAATTGCGAGAGATGACGTCTTTGGCCACAGTAGTCTGTCTTGATATTCAGCCGTAAAGTCGCAAGGTTCTACATTCAATGTTATTAGACCCCAAAGGTTGATCTTTCCTTTCAAAACGGCGGACTGTAAGTATCACATTGCCACAGATTGACATCATACTCCTTTTGACCCGTCAAAGAGATGGGATTGTAATTGTGAGAGATGACGTTTTTTGGCGACAGTAGTCTGTCTTGATATTCAGGCCAACTGAGCACGAACCCCAGCATCAGGCTCATTAGAAGCCAGCTGAGAGGAAAACTTACTTAACTAAGGGTCAGAGCACAAAGTGCCCTGAGCACGAACCTCAGCATCAGGCTCATTAGAAGCCAGAGAAACAGAGAAGCCGATGCAGCAGGATCAGAAAGCACAGGGGCAGCAGGAGCGGCGCCCATGGGTTGGGCATCGGTCTCAACAACAGGGGGAGCCATGTTGCTATCAACAGAGGAGTTATTATCCCACGGATTACAGCAAGCCCGGGTAAAGTGACCGGTCTCCCTACAACGGCGACACTTGTCCTTACTAGGACAGTTAGCCGACTTGTGGCCCTGGAGAGCGCAGAAATTACAAATCAAAGGCTGGCCACGATACCACATACGACAATGATATCGATGGAAATGTAGCTGAGAAGAGTACAACCAGCCTTGAGAACAATTGAAACAAGGAGGGTACCAGTAAAGACCTCGGAACAAGAAACGTACGACTGATGTCTAATACGTTTAACTTCCCCAAAGCCACACAAAACATCCTCAATTTTGATATCTCACCTTCGAAAGGATAATCAAAAAGATTGACAACAGTGACAGGAGGACTACCACCACGAATACTACACCACATGCCAAAAATATACACACCAAGAATTGCTTTAGCCCGCTGAAAGATTTCTTCTTTAAGAAAAGTGACACGGATGGTGTCGTCACAAATTTGGACGGCACGGACATGTTTGAGAATTTTGACAACCTCCGACATAATTTCATCCTTTGTTTTGTTGGCAAGTTTTCTGCCAGTCTGGATGTTGAGCATCAAAGGAAGACACATGGCTGACAAATGGATAAATTGTAAAACAAACAGACAAGAAGAAATTCAAAAACACCAAAAACCGCCCCAAAAAGGAGCGGATCAAAAGCAGTGAAAAAGCAATCGCACCTGGGATAGGGAGCGAAAAAGTCAAAGGCTAAATAGCAAAAAGCACAAAAGGCCAAAAAAAAAAACAACGGCCAAATAGCAATAAGGGCGCTGACCACACCCAATAGTTTAAACACTAATTATCAATAATGAAAACTGGGAGACTTTTGCTCGCACTAAAGTTTATAAATTAGATGAACCTACAATAATAATTAAATAAGAGAGAAGCGAAAAAGGCACCCGAAAAGTGTGCCAAAAAGCAAACGGCAAAAAAGCCAGTAAAAACGGCCGAAAAACGCACCAAAAAATCGAAAACAAAAGGCGCCCGAAAGCTGCGCCCAAAAAACGCGAAAAAAGCGAAAGCAATTAAAGTAAAAAAAGCGGAGGCCTCCAAAATTGGAAGAAAAACAAGCCAAAAAAAGCCCAAAACCTAGGCAAAACACAAAGAGGTAACGCCGGGTAAGCAGCCGGTTGGGCGGCCGGATGGGCGGCCGAGCTTAACCCGCAAGAAAAGATACACAAGGCAATCAGAACACTGATGCGATTGTGTAAGGAAAAATAGCTCAAGTCGGAAAACGGAGAGAGCCAAAGAGAAGCCACAAGGCAGAGAAAAAAGTGAGGAAGGTTTCGCAAGACGTCGCTTACCCTGGGTTAGGCTAGAAATGCCAGCATAAGTCCCAAGGAGGGTCACGACAAGACGCGAAATCAGAATTAATACTCACAAATCCTCCTGTCTTGTAGGTCACCAGAACTTGATTCTGCTTGCGAAGATGTTGAAGATAAACTCCAAGCTACACTAACTTACCAACAGCCAAAAGCCCGCGTCAGGTACGTTTTTTTGTGTTTAAGGTGAATGGCCAGGCCTCCCAAAAAGGGAGAGTGAAATGCCTGCCAGACAACAAGACTTATCCGTCACACAACAACGGTTCGCCAGAAACGGGGGTGCAACAGCACGTCAAAACTCACCGGGGGATTGAACCCCGCCCCTACAAACAAAAAACATAGACACAAACAAACGAGGAACGAACAAGTCAAAACATCGGACAACAGGACAAACATACACTGTTCCGGAGCAAAGGCGAAAGGTAAACCCAAAAGAGGGGCACCTGTCAACAGACTAATCCTATAAAAATAGGTTCCCCACCAATATGCAACCAAAACAAACTAAGACCAAACAACAACAAGACAAACCAAATCCAACAAGCAAAACTAAGCAGTCCAAACTCAACGCAGCACAGGCAAAAACGAGAGAACAAAGCCAAATGAGGTGGGCAGCAAAACAGGAAGCAAAACCAAAACGAAGCAAGCCATAGGAGAAACTGGACGACAATGCGGTAACCACGAAGGACCAGGCAACAAGCGACACGGCGGAACAACTGGACCAACGGGACTAGGAGGAACACTTACAACAGGCGAAGCAGCAACGGACCTAACAGGACTTGAAGCAGCAGCAGAACTAACAGGACCAGGCCAAACACGAGGAGCAGGAGAACTCACAGAACAACCAAATGCAGCAGCAGGCGAAACAGCAAAAGAACTAACAGGGCTTCCATGCGAAACCGAAACAACAGGACGACTGGGTGGAACAGGACCAGACCAAACACGAGGAGCAGCAGTACTTACAGGACAACTAGACGTGACAGCAGGCGAAAAGACAGCAGAACGACTGGACTCAACAGGCAGAAAACAAGGCGAAGACAAGTCAGCAAAATCAAGACGCGGACGAGACAAAAATGGACGACGCGGAAAACGATCAGGCTCATAAGCAGACTCAGCATCAGACTCATAAACAGGCTCAGCAACATCAGGCTCGTAAACAGGCTCAGCAACATCAGTAACAGCAAGACCAGACGTAGAAGTGGCGACGGAACACGACGGGCGAGAAAGCAAAGAAGCAGCATAACTAGGTAGAAACGGCGAACGAGACGACACAGCAGTAGACTTAGCGAGAACCATTTGCTTGACATCATATAACTGACAGTCCACACACAGACACGCAGGCACATCATCATAACAAGAAGGCTTAACAACATCCATCTCAGAAGACAACTAAGGATCCCTACTTAAATATGAAAAAACTCCCAGATCCTCACCTAAGCAGGGACTTCCTAGCACAAAGTGCGTAGAGGCGTGTCCCGCGTCAGGTAAGTTTTTTTTTTTTTTTTTTTTTTTGTGGACACTCAACACATTTTAACTCATTTTGGGTTTTCTACTGATAATTCATTTAAAGTTTTCTATAAAAGTATATTTCTAACAAAGCTCTTAAAGGTTACAGTAGTTGGCGTTGAGCATAGCTCAATCAAACCCATAGTAAGCCAGAGTTACCCTTTAAACACAACTGTCAAAAACTAGAGGTTACAAATTATGTCTGTCAACAGTTCTTGTGCATTTTGAGAAGGAATCCACCGCAAGTCCGAGTAACCAGCGGATAAAAATTTGAACCGAAGTTAATAATTATAATAATAATAATAATAATAATAATAACAATTTTATTAATAATATTAATAATTATATTAGTAATGGTAATAATGATAATAATAGTAATAATAAATACTTAATTTATACTGCAAAAAATAGATTAGCTGAATTTAAATACAAGGACAGCTGGTATAAAACTATGTGCAGTTGATAAAATATTTCAAATAGTGTTAACAATAAAAACGTTATTTGAAAAATTTAAAGTTATCTACATTGCAAGTTAGTCTTCTGCGGTACTATTTTAAACATCCGCTCGAAAAAAATCATTTCTAAAAACGCGAAATGTCGAAAACAAATTTTGAAGTATCTAAAAATAGAGACATAAAAATATGATAAAGAGTTACTCATATGAAACACTTGAAAGTACATGTACTGGTGAAGTGAAACTGATGATGAAATTCTACATGTGATTACGCAATATCTCTCAACTTTGAAATTCATTTTCTCGAGTTCCAGTGGGAAATTGTTTTTGGCGTTATTTCAGGCAACTATTCATATTTCATATCTGGTACAAGGTTTTTGTCCATTAAAAACTGAAACTGCTCGATTTCCTATCGGATTCCTTCTTTCAAAAAGATAAAAAAGATAATTTAAAAATTATATCAAATATGTTAGAATGTCCCGAGGGGTACTCCCAGAAAAATTACAAACCCTTACCCTATTTACGACCAAATTTGCGATTTTCCCTACCCTATTTATGACCCTACCTGAAAAAGTAACTACTTCTAAAAACCATACCCAGCCGGCAAGACCAGAGCGCAAAAACCATAACCTATATCTAAGACCCAGATGGCCAAATCGATACCCTATATAGCTATTTATGACCAGACGGCTTAAAACCGTAACCTTTGGTGCCGCCCATACCCATATATGTCATACAAGGGAGTACATACCCCCTCGGGTAGAATGCACTGTTTGTTTTTGCGTTGCTATAACTGACGGATAAATACTCAGCTCCATTAGATATAGAGCCGTAAACCTTCCTCACTGACAAAGCTATTCTTCTCTATATTTGTAGAGACAGCTATTTGTTGCTGCCATGCCTGTTATTCAAGTGAAACCGATTTCACTTGACCTCCCTACTGATTCTACGAAGAGAAACGTGGAGCCTGAAAAGTCATCGCAGTCTTCCAAATGGAAAGACTTTGCCTCGAACACAACTCTTCACGGACTGCGATACATTGTCCAAAACGGGCTTTCCATTCACAGGCGAGCGTTATGGCTGACATTCCTTTGCGCTTCTGCCAGTTTCTATACTTATAACGCAACCATAAGCTTTGGGAAATTCATGTCAAGACCTACAAAGACAGTAATTACACAAGAAACGCCAACTGGCGGCTTGAAGTTTCCGTCAGTGACCATCTGCAATTTAAACAAGTTTATGAAATCCAAGATAGATATGGCAGATGACAATGAAAACTTTATAAAAATGGGATTGAACATAAGTGGATGCCATGAGACGCGAGAGGTTCGAGGAAATCTCACTTGTGGCCAAGCATTCCTGTGTGCTTATTACATATATGGCCCGGCTGTTGTAAATGGCTGTAATGAAACCACGCGCCAGAACATAATCAATGTTCTTACTGGCTCATCAAAGCGTTTACTGGACGAAGAAAAATTTCTCACCAACTATGGGCATGACTTTGTTGGCTTGTGGTTTAAGTATTGTAGCTTCGCTTCTCTAGGGCCATGCTCTGAAAAAGACTTCGTTCGGACTCTTACAGCAAGGTTCATTTGTTATACATTCAACTCTGGGCATAATGAATCCGGTACGATGTTCTATTCGAAATTTGAAGGACCCGACCTTGGCCTCAACATTATTCTGAATGTTCAAACTAATGAAAGCACACTGAGTGACTTTTCAACCGGATTAAAAGTGATTGTGCACAATCAAAAAGCATTTGTTAACCCAAATAGTGGATTTAACATATACCCGGGTACTCATGCGACAGTTGCGCTCAAGTTAAGGGAGGTTAGTTGAAGACTTTACTCCTCAAATGCTAAGGACGTATACCGTTTTTGTATACAGACACTTATGACCTCATTTGACACTTATGACCTCATTTGAAAGAATCCGATAGGAGATCGAGTAATTTCAGTTTTTTGTGAAAAAAATCTTGTATCAGAATAACTTTAAGTATATTACAGTCCTTTTTGCATTTCCTAGAAGCTAAAGATTTAAATAGTTGCCTGAAATACAAATGTAGTATCAAAAACAATTTCCGATGGGCCTGACTCGAGAGAATGAATTTCAAAGTTTAGAGAAATGTGCAAACACAGGTATAATTGCATCATCAGTTTCATTTAAACCAGTACTTGCAAGTTTTTCATGCGGAGTTCAAAATTTGTTTGTTACATTTGGTGTTGTTAGCAATGATTTCTTTTTAGAAGATATTTGAAACAGTGGCACAGAAGTCTGCAATACAATGTAAATAACTTCGGTATAAAGGCTTTGTCTGCTTGTTACACGAACTTCTGGTGGAGTCTTTCTTAATTAGTATAGTTTGGTTTTTCCACCAAGACCCAAAGAGGGGAGAAAGGAGTTTGACTCTAATGTTACCACGGTTTAAAGAAATCTCAAATGTATCTAAACAAGGCGAACATGGATAACGATATTCTCACTGAAGTAAAGCAGGATTACAGTACTGTAGGTTAGTTGGTTAGAAACAATTGGCTATAGCTACTTACTCATTCAAAATTCTGTTCAATCATTTTCAGCACAAAAGACTTCCAGCACCTTTCGGAACAAACTGCAGCACCAAGGACCAGTTGCCTGGAGTAGGTACTTACACAAAGGACGGCTGTATTTACCAATGTCTTACAAATCTGACGTCCCATCAGTGTGGATGCCGTATACCTGGTTTTCCAGGTACGATTTTACAACCACTACTGCAACAACTACTACTGGTATTGATCCTGCTACTGCTACTGTTACTACTACTGCTACTGCTCCTGCTACTGCTACTGCTACTGCTCCTGCTACTGCTCCTGCTCCTGCTCCTGCTACTGCTCCTGCTACTGCTCCTGCTNGTCCTGGAAGGCAGAATGAACCTGACGCTGACATTCCATAACCTGACCATAGGCAGACAGGGCATGACGGATCGAATCAGTTGAAACCTCGACCGGCACCCAATAGCAATAAACAAGAGAAGCTTTAGGATCAGTCTCAAACACGTTCAGCTGAAAACCGCGAACAGACACTCCCTTGATTAAGGCAAGATCACGAGACGCCTCGTCCTTAAAAGTAACCCGGACATAATTTTTGGGGAGGAACTGACAAGCACGAATCACGGACTTCGGGATCGACTTGAACAGTTCGACCATGAAGTCATGCTCGGACATAGATGCGATCTGATCGGGGCACTGGATAACTAAGGTATTAGGCCTAGCCACACGACCAGCCATGATGTTAACAAACACAAAGGGCGGAGCCCGAGGCCAAAAGGCCACAAGAAAAAAACCAAGGAAAAAAGAGAAAAAACTCACCAAACAAACGAAGTTAAGCCCGGATGGGCGAGGCACCCAAATGGATGGGTGACCCGGCTTGACTTGACAGCTGGATGGGTGACCAGAAACCAACGAACAAGAAGCCCGAAGGAAAGATGGCGCCCAGAAACACAGCCAAGAAGAAAGCCGAAAACCAGAAAAAAATCTGGCGAAACTTACCAAAAGAACTCAAGAGAGACAGGAAAAACCGCACCAAAATGGTAGGGCCTCCGGCCATACACTCCCGCGTCAGGTAAGTCTGAAAATTCTTGGCGCGGGGGCCGTCAACGGCAAACCCCCTTAGCTCTATATCCTTGTGGTAGTGATTTGCGGGCGTGCTGGACGTCCAACCTCACATCTAGGCGGCTCTACAGTTGCTCCCCCCCTCAGTCTGTGCCTGCCCATAGAGAAAATTGCCAGATGCTAGTGTGAGAAGCGCGCTTTGTTTGATTTCTTTCTTTGATTGAATGAAGGTTTCTGCCCTGAGGGGAAGTGGGCCGCACTCGGAGGAAGTGCTACACCGAGACAACCCGTGACTGGGACGAGGCAAGCCTCTTTTCCACAGCTCAGTTCCAGAAATCATTTTAATATATGAGCTGCTCAATGAGCAGCGTATCAGATATTAAGCTGATAAGAACAAATTTAAGTTTTGAAATGAGTTTATTCAGAATAAACTACTTAAGTACATGCTAAAAAATGCAAGGCACGTGAGCTTGGCCCCTCACAAAAAGCTATGTTCATTTTCCCATTATAAAATTACGGAAGTCATCAAAAGTGTCAATTGCGATCATAAGTTTACATAACATTTAACAATGCTGATCATAAAATTATCTGGGATTATCATATATACAAAATAATATTTAACTAGGAAAACACTTTACATACACTATATACAAAAATCCGGAGTTAGATTATTCGCTCTCGATTTCTATGCGTGATAGAAATCTCGAGCTCATAATCTAATTCTTTAATGGTACTGGTGCAGCTCTGCTATAACGTATTCCGCTGTAAAATTGCCGCCACCAGTTGAATACCTGGCAAACAAGTGGTTACGTACTTTATTGTCATTGGAGGAAGTAAGGGGTACCCGGTAGATAACATATCAGATGACAAAGGACAAAAGCACAAAACTACTCAAGCCAAGAAGTGAACTGACGATTCACCTGGCGTTTATTCTAACCAACATGCGAACCGAACTTGGACCAAGTTTCGTGTAGAAGACAGCTTACGATACTCGTGAATATTGTGGAGTCCGACAGACTCCAGGAAGCGATGAAAACCAAATAAAACAAAATGAAGCGCTCGTCATTCCTTGGATTCAGATGAATGTTAAAGATAGCAAAGTTTAGTTTGACTCAATGAGTGTTTAACATCTTCAGGTAAGTAAAGTGCTTCAAAAATATCTAATATGTAGGGTTCAGTTTTATTGGAAGATCTAGATTAAGTTAGGTTAATACGTTTTCCCGTTTCAACACGAAATCTGTTTGGGATAATGAAAACGAAACTTTCAGTCGAAGACGACAGATAGAGACTTTCTTTGAGTTCTAAGTTTTGTTTTGTCTTCTTGGTTGTTTTTTTGTTGTTCTTGTTGGTGATGATCTCGATCGTAACAAGTAGATTAATTCAATTATTTCCCGCAGTTGAGGACTAACAAACGCGGCCACGAATAGGATAACAAGGAAAAGCGGAGTTACTGAGATATACGCCTCATTGAAATGCAACAGATCGTGTTAAATGTTCACCAGGTACCCGGAATGGTGATTTCAAAAGATAAAGATCTACAATTGTGTACTGCATAACGTATTCAAAGACAGTATACAACAGAGTCGAGTAAAATGGGAGTAGAGTATAAGAGTTCCAAGACTGATATTTACCGTTTTTCTTTGTCTTCTCATACACGAAATCACCGGCAGGAAAGACCGCTATCCACAATTCTTGCGTAACGTCAGTGCTATACCCGTTACCGGCAAACCTATATATCTTAACGCTTTTCGGCTCTTTCCTTTTCATTGAAATTGTATTGACGGTTGTTTTTAGTCTTCCACCAGGTCCCCCTTGAAAGGTTGAGGAGGGTCCCAGTGTCAGGTTAGAGACTACAAAGGTAAGATAGTATACGTCTAATGGATCTGCAATACGTTTAATCTTCTGTAAGAATGTTGCATCAATGGGTTTTAGGAAGGTTTTATAGTCAGAGATTTTGATTTTATGTGATTTGATTCAAACTTAGTCTCTTTCGACACTAACATATGTGCATTCTATAGCTGGTTTTCACATGACGTCACCAAAATTCGAACTACAAAACTATTGATCTTCCTGAGATTTTACTTGAATGATGTATAAGAGCAGCTGAAA